CAAACTAACTGTTAAATTATTGACTGTTTAAAAATATGTTTTCTTCCCACTTTTAATTTCTGACAATAGCTGGAGTTTCATAACAATATTTGTTTCCCATGTTAATCTTATGGAGAAATACGAAACTTTAAAGGGTCCCAGGGCCTCACTCTCTAACTGTTTACCTAAAAAGAAAGTTTCCTGCACAACTTCACGTTACGCTCTTTCCAATGAGACCAAAAACATGTCAATCGGTTCAGTAGTTTCGGAGGAGTAATTGTCACAAAAAATCTGCTTGCGTATTAAATAAGTACTAGTTGACCTGCCCGTGCTTCGCTACGGGGTGAGAATGCAGAAAAGAATAATTCGGTATTACTTTGAGATACTATAATATACTATAGGAAACAGTTACAACACTTACCAGGAAACATATAGGCAAAGGCTCAATCGTGCTTACTGATTATTCGAATGAAGATCTCTTAATGTATTGCAATACTATCATTTTATACAGTGTATAGCATTTAAAATATATATATGCAAAAGTATAATTCATTGACCACATGGCACCAAGAAAAATTCTCCTTGTAAACAAAATAAATTAAACAGCAGAACAGCATTTCTGACAACACCTGAAGTTTCATAACAATATTTGTTTCCCATGTTAATCTTATGGAGAAATACGAAACTTTAAAGGGTCCCAGGGCCTCACTCTCTAATTATTTCCCTAAAAAGAAAGTTTCCTGCACACCTTCACATTACGCTCTTTCCAATGACACCAAAAACATGACAATCGGTTCAGTAGTTTCGGAGGAGTAATTGTCACAAAAAACCTGCTTGCGTATTAAATAAGTATAGATATAGATTCAACTGATTCTACCCAAGACACTAGTAAACTCTGGTGAGATGGTCCTAAACTTCATCTATTTTCTTGGCTTCAAACTTTCATATCACATGGGAAGTCTATTCTGTGTATAGTCAATGGTTTAGGTAAACAGCTACACATTAATTTTGTTAAAGAAAATGAGAAATGTTGAAATGTATTTGTTAAATTTATATCAGAATTAAATCAGTTTGTTGTTAAAATTGTAAAGGTTCTTCTTATTAAGCCCGAGTTCTAACATCTAGATTGAACATAAACTTTTGACAAGGAAAAACTACCTAAGTATGTTCCTTGCCTCCTTGATAACGTCGTCAGCAACGCAGCAAATGATGATTACATGATATGATTCAAGATTAGACTAATACTTTTGCTTTATTAAATAAAGCTAACAACGGTAGTATGACCCTACATCTTATGTCAAGAAAAAAAGAATAAAATGAATCTTAACGCCTAATTTATGATAAACTTATACAATCACATTCATCAAACATATTACGTACAGGAAGTTTTGTTAAAATGTACCACAAATTAATAAAAATGATATACCAACTGAGAAAAGGTGTTAAGGTAATTTTTTGGTTTCTGGAATATTTGCATTTAAGTATAGTTAAAACTTTTCTTAAAGTAGAATACTTTGTAAAATTTACGATCCAAGTAAGAACTGGCGTACCTCTTAAAATCAGGCATTCTTACTTCCAGTCGAGTTTGGAAGTTTAATATCATTTAATTTTAATTCAACTTGATTTCTATACTAATTAATAAAATACCCCCGCCACAGTAAACCTGCAGACTAAGCAAATTTCCATTCACCTGATTGGATTTTCAATTAAATCTATTTAAATAACATTTAAAATATGTGTAATGAGCTTCTAGGTTTGCTGCTACAGGGAGGATATTATAGTGTGTTTTTTAGTAAAATATTAATTGCTTAGTATAAAATAAATAAATTTGTTTAGTTTGATCAAAATATGTCCATAAAAAAACCTACAACAACAGTTTGTAGTTATTCTCCATTAGAATAACATGGGAATTTTAAATTCACAAATTTATAGAATTTTCTTCGTAACCAAAAACCGTTAAAACACTTCAATATACTTAATTATTTGTTTTTTAGCTCTTTAAAAAGGTTTAAAAGAAATTGAGAAATTGTACGTTTTAAGGGTAAATTATTTGAAAAAATATTTTTATCCCATAAACCCCCCATAACACCCCGCTCCCTATACCGATCTTGCTGGTTCGCGAACTTGTGGGTTTATCCCACTCTACAGACTCCACACCTTCAAGTCAAATTTCATCAAATCGGACTAAAATTACTCAAGTTATCGCTTTCAAGGACGTATATATACAAAATTCATTTAAAATTTTCAAATAGCAACATATGTCAAGTGGCACGTATCATTTTATAGTTTTTTTTTTTATTCTTAACAACTTTGCAATTTACACTTACTTCGTATCCCTTTTAGTTTTTGTGTAAATAACAAAAAAACCTCACTTTCCTGTATCAAATGCATGTTTGAACACATGCATTTGGGTTTTAACACTAAAGGCCCCATATAATTAAGGGTTAAATCCAAATAACATGCATTTTATATGGGAAAATTAGGTTTTTTTGTTATTTACACAAAAACTAAAAGATATACGAAGTAAATATAAATGTTATATACATTTTACGTTAAGCCGTTTTTTTTTTGTAATCAATTTGAGATGCCTTACGTAGGACACCCTGTATACAGAGTGGCTGAAAAGTATCTTTCACCCCCCCCCCCCCCTTAACTTTTGAATCTTTTGGGACATTTGAAATCGGTTTGCGGCAACCTTCTTAGAAGTGAGAGGCTACAATAATTAATTATGGTTAAATTTATAAAATTATTAATTATTAAGGCTAGAACAAACTGCAAGCGTTAGTAAAAACTTGAGATATGAGAAAAATTATCTTAAAAAATGATCATACTACGTAACGTCCATAAGAAATGGACAAGGGAGAATTTTCGTTTGAATATATCTTCAAAACGAAAAAAATATATTTAAAAAAAGATTTTAGCATTGAAATCAGCGTGAAAATCTAATTTATAATGATGTGTCACAACACTATCATTACGTTTAAAAATATATATTTATATCCAATATGGCGGAACCAATATGGCAGATCCAAGATGGTGGCCAAAATGCGTTCCCTATCATATTAAAAAACTAACCACACAATAAATATCGGTGGTAATCTCAAATAATAAATAACAAAATAACAAATAAGTGAATATCTCAAAAATATGCATGAAAATGCATGTGATATATTTTTTTATGTGTCCAATGTTGGGGATAACTGCCATTTTTAATCGTCATTAAAGGGGGTTTCCTGTAGACCGATTTTTGGCAACTTTTAGTACGTCACTCTGCACATCTAACACTATACCAAATAAAACCGTACAATGTTTTCTTGCATTGTTTTAAAGCCATATCCCATATTTATCTGACTATTGGTGTTTTAAAATAAATGGCTCTTAAGAAAAATAGCAGCCATTTTAAAGTTTACTTTTAGACACTTTCCCATGGTCGGATTTTGTCGGATTTTGGATATGTTGTAGAGTAACATTTGTTGAGTCGAATACCACTTCAATGGCTTATGAAGCAATTTTGCCCAGGTCAAATCATAATTTTACTAGACTATGTGTAAATTAGGAACCGGAGAAGAATAGGCAGTATCATTGACGGATCCCCACAAAAGATATACCTGGGGGTAACATCGAGGGAATGAGGTCTCCATTTCGTCGGACCATCGCGCCCGATCCAGCGTTCAGGGAAGTGGAGATTTGAAAAATCCCTCACACATTTAGCCCAATGAGGCGGAGCACCGTCTTGCTGGAAAATTATCATAGGTTCTTCTAATTTAGGGACTACATATAACTCCAACATATCCAAGTAACCAAACCTATTCACATTTTCCTCCGCAAAGAAAACTGGTCCAATGATTCCATCATGCATTATACCACACCAAACATTTAGTTTTGGACTATCCCTTTCATTTGCATTCACGATCCTGGGATTTTCACTCGCCAATAATCTAGAATTGTGTTTATTAAACTTCCCACTTAAATGGTAGGTCGTCTGCCTTGGGTTTCGTGAACAACAAAACGCGCTATGTAAACTCACCATGTCTGTTTTGCTATCGTAGAATCATAGATGTAGTCTTGTTAATCAGCTGTGTTTAGGTGTTACCAACTTCATTAAATAAAACTTGATTAAATTATCTTCAAAACAAGGCATACAAGTTAAAGTCTGGCTTTAATGTTTTTCGTACAGCAGCTATAAATCAGGCCAAGACTTTGTGGACACCCGATATATATTTTACAATTTTAATCAATACAAAAAAATAATTTGTTAAAGTTTCATAGTTTTTTTTTATCAATTTAAAAAGTTCAACGTAACTTAATGGTTATAAATTAACAAAAAACTGCTTAAACGTGGTTCAGGGTTTAAACGAATCTTCGGAGTAGCTATTGTTAACTGGCCTTTGTCCTGAATTCTATTCATCTTAACAAACTTTTGTGAAGTTTTAATTACAGTTTCCGGGTCAAATAATTCTGAGCAGTTTTTGTCCCGGGTTTAACCAACCATCTACAATTCATTGTCATAGTTCGGTAGGTAAGTCTTTTGAAACCACTTCTACAAAGGGTCATTTAATAAAACAGAACGTGTTTAAATGTAGGCTATGAAACTATTTCTTTTAGTATTCGTTCAAAAGTGTATTTAGGGTCACTTCTTATTAACCTACGTACATCCCCATCTCAATAATAATGATAATACATGTTTTAAAATAAATATGACAAAAACGTCAATAGTGTACATACATAAACACAAAGCCTACGTTTTTATACAATTTTAAATTGTATGAATTTATTGGTTATTTATTGCAGGATGAACAATTTGGATAAGGTCAATTACACTTGGATCTTTCTCTGTGACTGGACGTTACACCATTGACTTTGGATTCTGCACACTATTGAATAACCATTGATTGTCTAATGTATATAGATAATTTAACCTATGGGTATAAGTTTGATTTATAGTTACATTGTAGCACACATGATCAACCACTGATTTATTTCCAGTATGTCTTTACAATAACGTATGTTTTCAAACAAATATAGTTTTTGCTGTTTACATTCCTTTCTTTATAAAAAAATACACCATAAGAGTGTTTATTTACTTGATTAAGTAAGTATTGGAAACATATAAACTTAGTTTCAAAGTCTAGACTTGCATATTATCTCACAAAAAAAGTAGTTTGTTTGGTTAAATTCAGTACTGTAGCCTACTTCATTTCATTGTAGTGTCTTAGTGTTAGTTTTGCACTGTAAAAATTCACAACTTCAACTCAGAATAATGAATCTTAGTATGTTGTTGCTAGCCCAAATGTATGATGCTACTTTACCAACCAAACTCATACTACAAAACAACTTCGAAGACGAAGCAAATTCGATCTTAATAATTCGTTAAAGTATCAAACGACATTGGTTACAAATACTCCACAGCTGTACTTTAGGATTAAACTTTACAATGGTTTGATACTTGGAGTTTTACTGCTGGCAATGTGTCAGCAACATGGTTGTTAGGTATTTCCTCTTCCAGATACTTTTTGAACAGTACAGTAATCAGCTTTACTTAAACATATTTTCATGATATTTAATTTATTAGTTAAAAGTTCTTGAGATGGTACCCTTTTGAAGAAGGGAGACTCCTTGACCACACTAAAACAAACCCAAAATACGATACCATATGAAATGATGCTATGAAAAAAACTTAAATATATTTTAATGTTCTTTAATTTATAAGTTGGAAGTTCTTGAGAGAGTACGCTTTTGAAGAAGGAAGACTCCTTGACCACACTAAAACAAACCCAAAATACGATACCATGAAATTATGGCTATGAAAGCAGCTACAGCTCTTCAGCAGAATCCGTCTCAACCAGCTTTAGTAATCTAAGCTTAGATAAGTAGATGATGGTCTATGGGTGCTTCTAACTGCTATTGCATCAATGTGCGTGCATGTCCCAATTAAGGGTTTCCAAGCAATTCCTGGAATCGAATAATTAGTTTGGTTGCATTTATGGAGTTTAAGTTGTGTTGGCTTCCTCCTTGACCTCTCCTCCATTGAGGGTTGTGGAGGGAAGGTTTTTTACATGACCTGATACTGGAATGGTATATACTTATAATTCCTGAGACTTGGTCTTCCCTTTGGTTGTAGTATAGATAAAATATGCATGTTGCTTAGTATATGGTTGTAGGCTGGGTATTTAATAATACTAGTGGTCATCCAGTGGTCGAAAACTCAACCAAAAATATGTAATGTACACGCATTGACTATTGGATACTGATGTAGACATCCTATCTATATGGACCAGCCGTCGCCATTTTTAGTCACAGAATGCGTGTATAAAATTTTATTTCCTACTTTAATTTTTGTTGCTGACAAAGTTGATTGGTCATAACAGTTGCTATAGCTCATAATAAGTCATTCCAAAAGTTTGACTTGGTAAAAAAACATCGTGTACTTGACAGAAATTAGTCATTTAGATCAGCGCAATCATAACTATTACTAAAGGACGTCTCTAGTTCGAAAACTCGATTAAAAATATGAAATGTACAAACTTCTTTATTTTCATCCCAATCTGTATATCAGAGCCTATTTTAATTTTTAAAGGGTTTCTGCACATCTACAGGAAAATATCTTTCGAACAGTATGCATAGATTTTCCTTCCGATGCACACGAGCTGAGAAAAAAGGTTTTAAAGAAACATGCTTCCCTATTAATATATGGATAGAAGATAACAGCCAAATTGGTATAATAGATGCATATAATTTAGAAGATGAAAGCAAATTAGTTCAAACGATAATATCATAACTATTATGAAGACTAATATAGTCAAGTTTATAATTTTGCTCCATTAATAGTGTGGGGCACACAGATTATAACATTTTCCATGCATTGTATTGTGATATAATTTTGTTTCAGGGGAAATCTGCGAAATTTTCTTGAAAATTCTTTAAGCAGTTAAAAATATGATGAGCCTAACTGAGAGAAATATGATTGTTATATACTGTGTACTAGGCTTGATAAGCCTTGTGACTCCTGCTGCTATCAACAATACTGGGCTGGTGGTTGATGATATTCCATCGGCGCTCTTGGACTTATCTGAAGACTTGTCCTCATTGTATGACAATAAGGATAGTGACAGATACATGCCTCTTGGGGCTGCTGGTTTATTGTACCTTGAACCACAATTGGCACTATTCCTAACCATCATTGTAATTAATCAAGTGATGGCAATGATTCAATAGTGGGATTGAACATAAGTTTTACAAAAATTCAAAGTTCATCCCTAAAACATTCATTTAGAAGTATTTTAATAAATTATGTTTTTACTCTCTAATGTTTTATTTGATTCAACAGAAAAACCATACATGTATACCTTTCAAAAAGATCGTCAACATAAAAAGAGTAAACTGCACTAAAACTCAATCTTTTTTTTGTCCATTAAAAAATAGATGGGAATAATTTTCTGGTTTTACAATGTAATGGCCAACAGTTCAAGTACAGTCTTAAATACAAACGGACAGTTAATGCAAAAGTTATGAAAAATAATTAATAGTTCAAAACTTTCCATAAAGTGAAAAATATTTTACATCTTTATGTTCCAGTGTTTTTTTTTTTTTTTTTTATAAATGCCGAAGAAATATGGTGTATAGTTGCACCACTGTATTTTCATTGTATAGTATTTTTAATATTCTTCATTCTCAAAGGACTTATCAAATCAAATACAAATCTCTATTTATTTTGTACATACATACAAGAATAGTGTCATAAAATAAAGTTAAAATCATGAAACAACAACAAAACCAAGAATATAAATTTGTTATAAGACTAACTCCTGTAAAATATCCTAGAAGCTTACTAAACAATAAAACTATTTTTTATGTAATTTTTGTGAAATTTTGTTTCTATTACTTTAGGGTTAATTTCATGACTTGTGCTGTACTGTTTGGATATATAACTAGGGCACGAGTTACTGTTTATGATTATTTAGTTTTATTTGGCTAAACGAGGTTTTAAATTGCTGAAATAACAAGAAACAAATTGTAAACAAAACACGACCTCTACAGTGCACCGGACAGAAAACAATAAAATTTTCTTCAGCTGTTCCATAAGGGTGAGAAATATCGTCAGTGATGATAAGTGATCAGTGTTTCGTGTTGGTGCAGTTTGAGTGCACTGGGATCAAGTTAATGTTTCACTCTTATTTAAGGGTAGATTTGACAACTTGTATGCACCCTTTTATATTTTACATAGTATGGACAGCTATAATCATAATAAATTTAAATCCCACTGGAACTTAAATAATATAAGCCAAATTTAGTTGTAAACCCTTTATATTGATTTTACAATCGAAATAAACTATACCGAGCCATGGCTCAGTGTGGTCCCCCGGTAAGTGTTCGAAGTGGCACTTTTTGCTGCACATGAGAGAAAAATGCTTAGCATGAGCCAGACGTATTATCCATATAACAGCTACAAACGGTTCCCACACTCTGCATATCCAGCATTTACTACTTCCTTCACCACTCCCTACGTCGTGAACCTGTTTCCTTCCCTTCTCATAGCATTTAAGTATTGCAGATACATTTATTCAACTGCCACAAACGACTCCCACACTCCACACTGCTCGCCTTTACTACTTACTTCACCACTTCCTACGTTTTGGACCAGTTCCTCTCCCTTCCCATAGCATTTTAGTATTTTAGATATATTAATCCATCTGCCACAGACGCTTCCCACACTCCGGTATATTGAGTAATCTTCTGTGAAATCTTTGCTTAATAGTAACAACTGATGTTTTTCCTTTTGTACTGTATTTTGTAATTTGCTAGTATACTGTGGGTAGATGGCTTATTATGAACACATGTTACACGTGGAATTCCTACGGTTGAAGAGGAAATAACCAAATTTAGTGCAAAATATCTAAAGAAACTTGAAAATCACCCTAATCACCTGGCTCTAAACCTCTTGGACAACAGTACCAGTATTTACAGGCTAAAAAGGATTCATGTTTTGGATCTAAGCACACGTTTTGTTTGAACAATTTAATTTTCGGGTCTGACTTAGGGGAGGTACAAATGAGGCATTTAGTTCAAAATTCCTCCGTGAACAGCGCTGTAGTAGAGAGCACTTTGGCAATGAAGGTTTACTAATCGCAAAAATAGTTCTGTTCATAAAATAAAATTATAAATGCCTAAAATTCAATTTTATTAATTCTTAATTACAAAATTTAACCATCATAACCTAACCGAACTAACCAAACTTGCTGATAAAGAAATAATATAACAAAAGTTTATAGTAATCAGAAAAATAATTCTGTTTATAAAATAAAACTAGAAATTGCTCAGTTAAAATTTTATAATGACTTAATAATAAAATTAAACTGTAATAACCAAACCAAACCAACCAAACTTGCTGAAAATAAAAAATCTTGGACAAAAAGTGAATGCCACCGGCGGGATTCGAACCCGGGATCTGCAGTATATCAGCCCGGCACGCTAACCATTAGATCACCGAAGCCGATGGTTATCGACCGTTTTGTTACGATAATGGCGTTCCCTCAGCTAATAAGAAGCCCTCAGCTGTCATCGTAGCCTCTTCTATACCTCCCCTGAGTAAATACCTTAATTTTCCCTTGTTTATTTACATATTTATTTTTTCATTGAAATATTTTAAGTTATCTCTGTCAATGGACAATTGTGGAAAATTGTGAAAAAATAATGTTACACGTTATAACTTACAAGTCTTTTGTTTACTTGTTCCTTGTTATCTAATTCAACCAACATGGTTACTTAGCAACCCATAAAACCAATGTTAAAAAATGTGACTTTCAGTTTTATTTTTCTACGTAATTAGATTTTTGTTGGCAGCTGTAACTGTATTACCAATACTGGTAAGTACACTGTAAGCACGACATTTAAGTGTTACTAGCTGTAACCCGCGGGCTTTGCCCCGTTTAACTTCTTAATTTTCAAGATGATCTCGTTCGCATGGCTCAATCACGTCCTGGTTGAAGTTCGTTCGCTCCGCTCACTCACCTTTAGGTTGGAGCTCGTTCGCTGCGCTCACTTGCCTTCAGGTTAGCTCGTTCACTACGCTAACTCGCCTCCAGGTTGAAGTTCGTTCGCTATGCTCACTCACCTTTTGGTTGCAAATTAGCTGTTGTCATAAATGTAAAAGAAATAATAGTGCTGCACCCTGTTGGTAATCCTTGTAACTTTAATGCTATTGAACACATTGAACATCAGAGAACAGAACCAACTTGTTTAATTGAAACAGCTGTTAAGACTCATTAATTCCATTTCTCATAAGGTTAACATGGGAAACTCCAGAGCCACTGGGGCGGAGTGGCTCACGAAATTGATGGTGTATAAACCTATTCCATGAAATTCTACACGTATGTACCAAGTTTCGTGGCAATCGGTTCAGCGGTGTCTGAGTTTATCACTGCCAAATCTATTATATTATTAAAGTGATACAATGTAATTTTATGTAAACGGTTAAGGCCATTTACCAAATAAAAATATAGGCATATGGCACATCAAAATGAAGCTTGGAATATGTAGATTTGCCGAAAAGTATTAATATGGATGAATTTCCTAAAGGCCCTGCCCCACAGGATGATTTCCAAGGGGCTTCGTCTGGCATGCTTCTAAAGTTTAGATGATTTAATTTAATTTATCTAATGAAACAGCTGGTCAGTACAATTAAAGTGGTGTTTGTTTATTTACTCGAAAACGATGTTTGTGGCGCTTTATGTAGATTGAGGAGGGTTATGTTTGGTTTTAAAGAAAGGTTGTATACGTTTTGTAAAGTATTGCCAAAGGTATTGCTCAAAGTTTCATTTTCTAATTTATATAGTAAGCTAGGCTTGACTAAAATTGAAGAATTATGGTAAAACATGTCATTCATGAAGCATCAATATGAAGCAATTGATGCTATTGCTACACTAAGGTATGTCGTCATACTCTTTTGGATCCATTAACATTAAAAGTAGGGGTTTTAAAGTAAGTAGGTTTACACTTTTAAATCAGTTTATATTTCCATACTAAATCATTAAGTTGTTGTATTTTAAAACACACATCAGCACCACTTTAATAGCTCTCTGAGTCACATTTTCTTCCCGTTGCAACGCACGGGTATAGCAGCTTGTATATATATATATATATATATATACAAACATCCTCTTTTATACTTATAGATTAAAAGATAGAAACCAAATTAGTAAACCTTCATTATAGTCAATCAGAAGCCTCCAAATGACACTGTTGGCAAAATTTATCCTGAAAAACAAATCGTGCGCTATGGCTGTGGAGTGTGGACTGAAATGAGTGTTAGTGTCGAGCGACTCGCGGTTCGTCGGCTCGACTCGGACTCGGCATAAAATCAACAACGATAACAATAACAATACAACACGAAGACGAACACAACAATTAAAATTAAATAAAGCAAGAAGGTAATATTGAAGAATCTATCGTGGACGAGGGCTCGCCCGAAACCGGCTAGTAGACATTGTTTTTGCCATCACTCTTTCTATAAACCGTAATTTATTTTAATACTCAAAGTAATTGTAGATTGTAGCTTGCTTTACGCCGTGTACCTAACCTACTATCAACATGAGTAAAGCTCATCCTCCAGAACTGAAAAAGTGAGTAGGCCTAGTCCTAGGCCTAGGCCTTATGGTAACTAGGTTCTTGTCTATTTTAGGCTACCATACTAGTAGGTAGGGCCTATAATAGCTTAGATTGTTTTTTTCCTTACTGAGTTAGGGGTATATCATTATACGGATTACTAGCCTAGTAACTTACGTTTGTAAATCTTAATGACTAAGTTAAGTATACCACTCACCCTTGATCGTCTTCAGGATTCTTGGTTCCAAATTAGTTGGCATAGGCCTTAAGGGTGAAAATTTGATATCCGATTTCATTATAGGCCCTAGTAGCCTAATTAAAGGAAATATTTGTGAAACTTTGATATCCAACTCCATCATAATATCGCACAAGAGTATGTTCGATAACCTAACTTCATAAACTTAAGTTAATCCAAGATTCTAGGATCGATTAGGTTATCTATTTATTTATAACCTAGGCCCATAACAATTATTATATAAATAACAATTGATATAATAATGATCGTGTCAGATTATCAAAGTTATACCATCAAACTAAGTTATCAGTAGCCTAACTTGCTATAATAACAATATCATCGTCTTTAATTGCTAAACAAACTTCAGTGTGTGTGAGCGTATGTGTGTGTAGGGATCCCAGACGTCCTCATTTCCCCGAACACGTCCTCTTTTTTGGGTACTTAATCTAAAAAACGTCCAGGGGATTTTCA